GAGGGAAGTTAAGGTTGAATGGTTGTATGGTTGAATGAAAGTACATTTTTGATCGAATTGGAGTTGGAGAAGTAAGAAAGGATTAAAGGTAGCGACATTAAAGATAGTATTAAGTTTGAAAGGTTGAATGAATAGTTGTTGTTGAATTGAGAGGGATTATGTAGAAGTAACGGAATGTAAGTGGTTGTGAGGTTTTTTAAGTATGTATGGAAAGAATTAATTTATGAAGGTTAGGTTAGTGTTATTCTTTTTTGGTATTAAATTATAGACTGAGAAAAATGTGTGCAAGTGTTGAGGGGGTGTGTTGGAGTTTGTATATTAAATGTAATGGCAGGCAACACTTGACACTTGATTAGATTTCGAATATTGGAATTATTTTAAATGTTTTAAAAAACAGATCATTGTATTCTCGTAAGAAAATGTCAGTCACTTCTCATCTAGACACGGCATGAAAAACATGTAATAGTTTTATAAAAAATATAAAGATAAAAATTGTATAATGGTGTAAAAGTGTTAAAGCTATCTGCAATATAATTATAATGAAGCAGTTGTGTTTTTAAATAGCCCCTCATCACCTAAAGAACCCAACCCCTTAAAATCTTAACCATCCAACATATAGCTTAGAATTCATGTCCGTCAAGTCTTATTATCCCTTCAAGTTAAGAAATTCGTGAGTCACTCTGATAGTCACGTAAGCGATGCAGGTAAAGTTTGTGATAAAGTGTGGTTAGGTCGAGTAATAGAATTATGCCGGCCACTGACATGCGCGCAAATATTCGTACATTGTACGAATGTTTGCGCGCATGTGAAGGGCCGTCAAACATTCATTCGCAAACCTAGCGGCTGTGCAAATGGGTTCGCACACTCAATTTGCGAACCCGTTTGCGCTTCCTCCTACACTTGTTTACGAATGTCTCACGAATTTCTCCTCCTTTTTAATTCGTCAATAGAACATTGAAGAGAAAAAGAGTTTTGAATTCTTTCCCAGACATAATTAACAGCCATGCTGTTTTTATGGGATTTCTTTTGATGAAGATACGCTACACAGTAGACGTCACGAACTATGAAAATGGCGATACGTCCGTTACCTTCGCAATCGTCGGCGCAACTGGTCAGACGAATGTGTGGGAGACTACGCGAAGGTTCGCGGTTCGCGTGCTTTGATGTCTGATAAAAAACCGACACAGCTTGGAAAACCACGAATGTAGCGAAAACTTTGCATAATCATTTGCAAATGTCGTCCTACACTTGCGGGTTTGCGTATTCGTGCGCATGTGAGAGACCGGTGTTACATGCAAACTTTAAGGTACACGTTTGCACTCTATCCGACATCGAGTATTAAAATAGAAGAAAGTATTAGAATACTTGATATCACGTAGTCTACCTGATTTGGCACGGCACTAGCACTGTGTGTGAATGGTGTTGGTGTGGGATGGAATTTAAAATTCGATATTTTGTTATGTAGATACCGGTAAATAATATTATGCGTAGGAGCTATAAAACTTCAAATAATCTCAGTTTCAATGTTGCACGTAATTAAACCTTCCTCTTTAACGTCGGAAAAACAATGGCTGTTCCTCACGAAATGCTTTTACATCCAGAACTATTGAGTAATGAACAACTAACCCACATAATAGAACAGGTAAATATTGAATATTTTGGAGCATCTTTGCAATACAATTTTGTAAATAAACAATTAATATGATTTTAGTTTCATTTTAGAGACATTTGAGAATTGATGGGATAGAAAAAATGCCGAGAGATGACTTATTGGACTTATTTCATCAATACTGCGTTCCGTACGGACAAAGAAAATACCGGGATTCTGGAAGAGGTAAAATATTGAATAGAACTCGTCATATCAGTCCGGAGCCATCGCAATCTTTAAATAAAATCAAAGAAACTAGACACACTACATTTGAGCGAATCAAACCCCCTCCTGATTTATTATCAGGTCACATGAAACGGATAAAGCTAGAAAATGTAACAACAAAGTGCTCACACATGAATAGTAATAATCATAAAAGGAAAATCATCAATGATGTAAGTATAAGTACTTAAAAGCAGTAAAATACAATATAATGAAGTTTATCAAAATTTGTGGTACTAAGAAATAGGTTTTGTACATGTGATCCGGTGTCATTTTTTGAGATGCCATGTTGTAAATGTAATGACAATATGCACAGCTCAATATAAGCTCATTATGCTCAAATACAACTTTATGATTGAATTCTGCTGTTTATATTGGCTCACTCAAATACACACAACCTCTGTGAACCTCAGTTACAATTAATATAATTTGGATTTAAAAGGAAATGGTTATCATCTAGTACTTTAAAAATAGAAATGCTAAAAAAAATTAGTCAGCAATTTGCGATCCACAATACTCAAGTAATTATCCTAATTTTCTTACAGCCTAACTCTGAGCCTATTCAAGCAAAAAAAGAAAGAAAAGTAATAACATGGCCTTAAAGCAAATCAATTTAAAAGAAATCAGGCAGCACAATAAGATACATTAATGAAGATGTTCAAAATGCTCAGGAGATCTGAAGCATTCAACAGGATCTCAAAAATAATATTGCCATGTCATTGACACAATATATTGTGATGTATCAGAAACTATGCAATTTCTTTGTTCTCAGTCTATTTAATGATGATGAAGTTTATACACATAAGATATTAATTTAAGTTCAATTTTATACGATTAGTGTTTTATTTTTCTGTGATGCTGATAAGAAAGTCTCAATTAAATCTTGAGACATTTGTGTAATTGTATGATTCCTGTGGTTAGTCAACACTGGAGACGCCATTGGAATACAATTGAAAAGTTGTAAAAGGTTTGTCAATTAGTCTAAAATGAGTGTTGAATAATTATTTTTGTGAAATTATGAACTATGTTTTATATCACCAAATAAAATCAAATTATTCAAAGTTTCTTGACACCAATAATAACTAATGCATAATAGTTGTATTTTTAAGAATAGCAATGGGATTAAACTACATAAGATAATTATGATGACATGAAAATGTTATTGTATCAGATCACTGTAGTCTGTTATAATGTTGTTTAGTTTGTGACTTTTGAAGTCGTCGTGGCCTAAAAGATAAGACGCCGGTTCATTCGTATCTAGCGATGCACTGGTGTTTGAATTTTTTATTTATTGGATAATTGAAAATAGTTGCCAACATTGCGATGAGTTGGCCGGGTAGAAGTGTAATAATACGGTTTGATATACCGTCGGAACCGGGTGCCTTGCGAGGATGGAGGTCTTTGATCAAGTTTCTAACTTCCATCTGGGTGACGGGTGGTAACGCATCCGAGAGGGTAGGAGGCTGCGGTTTACCTCACTGTCCACTAATTGTACATGGACAGGGTCCGCGGATTGAATGCTGGGCGTCCACTGGGTTTGCAATGTATCGACCAGCAACTCTGCTTTTTCGTCGTCATCTAACGCCGCGGGTCGTCCTGAGGGGCCTACGAGGGGGGCATAGTTACTAACGTATCCGATTTGACACTACTAGCTAAGCGGTAGAAAGACCGTTGGAAGGTCGTGAGTCCTTCTGAGAAATCAGACCATCTGGCATCTCGGACTTCGGCGATGCGAGACTTTACGTCGTGTTGTAGGGCACGCATTCTGATACTATTTTCCTCGGTAGGATACCTATCGTAGGCGCGGATCGAGGCGTTCTTGGCTCTAAGGAGTTCCCTAACGTCGTCGGGCAATTTGAAGCGGTGAAGAAAATCCTCCACTACAACTTGCTATGTTGGCCTATGTAATGTCGAGGTNCAGACACAGCCCACTGAGTTTCTCGCCGGATCTTCTCAGTGGGTCGCGTTTCCGATCCGGTGGTAGATTCTGCGAAGCACGGCTCTTGCTAGGGTTCGTGTTAGCAACATCGTCAGGTTTGAGCCCCGTGAGCTCACCTACTAAAGTTAGGGTTACGCTGACATAGCCTCTCAAGGCTATCAGCTTAGGTAGGAAAAAAGAAAAAAAAAAGTTTGTGACTTTTGAAGTCGTCGTGGCCTAAAAGATAAGACGCCGGTTCATTCGGTATCTAGCGATGCACTGGTGTTTGAATTCTTTTTTTATTGGATAATTGAAAATCGTTGTCAACATTGCGATGAGTTGGCCGGGTAGAAGTGTAATAATACGGTTTGATATACCGTCGGAACCGGGTGCCTTGCGAGGATGTAGGTCTTTGATCAAGTTTCTAACTTCCATCTGGGTGACGGGTGGTAACGCATCCGAGAGTGGGTAGGAGGCTGCGGTTTACCTCACTGTCTACTAATTCTACATGGACAGGGTCCGCGGATTGAATGCTGGGCGTCCACTGGGTTTGCAATGTATCGGCCAGCAGCTCTGCTTTTTTGTCGTCATCTAACGCCGCGGGTCGGCCTGAGGGGCCTACGAGGGGGGGCATAGTTACTAACGTATCCGATTTGAGACTACGAGCTAAGCGGTAGAAAGACCGTTGGAAGGTCGTGAGTCCTTCTGAGAAATCAGACCATCTGGCATCTCGGACTTCGGCGATGCGAGACTTTACGTCGCGTTGTAGGGCACGCATTCTAATACTATTTTCCTCGGTAGGATACCTATCGTAGGCGCGGATTGAGGTGTTCTTGGCTCTAAGGAGTTCCCTAACATCGTCGGGCAATTTGAAGCGGTGAAGAAAATCCTCCACTACAACTTACTTCGTTGGCCTATGTAATGTCGAAGTGATGTGTGACGTTACGATATCTATGGCTTCAGCGGTATCCTGAGGGGACGAGGTAGAGTCTGGGCTAAACGGGAGCGATAGCGGATCAGATTAAGTTAGTTTGATGCCGAGCGTGTGCCAACCCACCACAGTCCTCATTACTGGAAGTTGGAATCCCGCAGGCGGGTACCAATTTTTCTAATGAAATACGTACTTAACAAATGTTTACGGTTGACTTCCACGGTGAGAGAATAACACCGTGTAATAAAAATCAAACCAGAAAAATTATAATTTGTGTAATGACTGGTCGTGCGAACTTTTCCGTCCGCACGGGTAGGTACCACCACCCTGCCTATTTCTGCCGTGAAGCAGTAATGCGTTTCGGTTTGAAGGGTGGGGCAGCGGTTGTAACTATACTGAGACCTTAGAACTTATAACATATTTCAAGGCGGATGGCGGCATTTAAGTTGTAGATGTCTATGGGCTGTGGTAACCACTTAACACCAGGCTGGCTGTGAGTTCGTCAACCCACGTATGCAATTAATAAATAAAGTAAATAAAAATGTATCTTATTTTAAGTTTTAGTTGTAAGACCTCTTAAAATTACGGTTCAGCGGCATAAGGTCTGGTTTGGGGGTAAATTCCACCACGTCGTAGAAGTGTCTACCGATACCACGACCACCCCTAGATCGGCCACGGGCTTCAGCATGTTGACTGGAAAAAAATAAGTATAAATTAGTTCATCCTAGAAGTAGGCTATAAGAACGGCCCACTAATTAACTTAAAACATTCTTCTTTGGACTATTGTTGCCACTCTTTCTTTGAAACAGCCAGTAGTGTGTATAAAGAGTGTCTCCGTATCTTTTTGGCTGTATCTGATTTGGCTGAATGGGTGACACCTGCGTCTTTGGAAAATGGAAAGGAAAAATGGAACTACAGAAAACATTCACATTTGACACATCCAAACTTCACAATCTTTGAGTTTGAGTCATAGATTATACACTTAATATATTAGAGATAGATGCGCAACTCTCATTTTTATTTTTGCTTTAGTTAAAGCCCGGTCCAGCAGGCGTCGCTACAGTCGATTATTAGTCTCCCTACCCCCCACCAGGTGGCTTTTTTAGTAATTTTAATATTTTTAATAACTCTCTTTATGAAAAAATCTTATCGTTTAGAATCGCTGGAATTCCCGGTAGTACTTATGAGATATTAAGGAATGTTTGATTGTGTTCAGCATTCTAATCGATAAGATCTTTTCATACAGAGAGAAAACAGTTTTTTAAAATAAAAAGCTGTAATTCTCTGTAAGCTATTTAATTTCCCTATATTACAAACAATTTTCGGTTAAAAGATTGTATGAACGTACAATTGTATAAAACTTCGAATAACAATAACTCCTCTAGATTAATCCTACTAGCGTACTTATTAACATTAAATCGAAAGTTATCTAAAAGTTAATTAAGTCTAGATAATCAAATCATTCAATGTCAATTAAGTCATTTGTGCGAAATATAAACATGTCAGCTTTCCATTATAAACATAGTAGACAATTTGAATTAAATTTAATAAATTTGTTTCTTAATGATAGCAGTTCTTGCTTAAAGTTGATCGTGACAGATCATGACCTTGTATGAAAATA